AGAGCGCCCCTTGCCCTGTGCAGTGGGGCTGTCCCAGGAGTGTGGTGGTGGCCTGAGAGACATACCCCAGTCAGTGGTCCAGGTTTGCACTTCGCTCCACTGACTCCAGATCCCATAGTAGTCGGGGAGGGGCTTGACCCTCACCCTGGCCCGGTATGTGGTGGAGGGCTGCAGCTGTGGCAGGGCCATGCTATGGGCACGATCTAGGATCTCTGTCTTGCTGTCCTGCAGAGGCAGATATGTTGAAGTTCTGGCTCCGTCCAGGACCCCACAACAGACCCTCCTGTGACCCACCACTGTAGTGGCCCCAGATGCCACCTCTTCCAGCACCAACAGCTGCACCCAGGCTCAAGCCCAGACTCTCTCTACCTCCCAGTTTGTCTGGTGTGCTGCCTTGGCCTAAATTCTGTCTGATGCAGGAGCGTCATCCTGGTTTCCTAGGTCCCAGACCATGAGATGCAGGACAGTGGTGTCAGGGTTAACCTTCTCCTGACTCTGCTGGCCCACTCTCAGGCCTCAGTACCCCATTCCCTCTCTGACGTTAGGATCCTGGTCACATAGTCCTGCGCTGGGACCTGTCGAGTCTCACTCTGCATCTAGGTGCCAGGACCTGCCCTGAACAGCTACACCATTGTCTCAGATCTAGGTCTGGAAGGAAATACACCTAGGCCTGGTAGACCATTGAAACCTTATTCCAGGTGTGTACCAAGTCCCGCCCAGCCTCTACCTGTCCAGGTATTGTCCAGTCAGCTTCATTATTAACCCAATCACAGTGGAATTAAATGCAGAGAGTGTTAAAGAATTTTCCACACAGGTACCTCTTCTACCCCACATTGTCTCTTTCCCCAAAACTTAAGGGCAGTACTGGTCATCAAGGAAAGAAACTGTCACCCGTTGACCTTGTGAGTCCTAAGGCACAGGGGCCAGGCTCCTGGAAATAGGTCTCCCTTTGGTCTCCTCTCTTTCCTTTTTCCCAGTCCCTACCTTTCCCCTGGGTGTGGTACCTCACCTCCCAGTTGTCCGGGTTATCTGTGTACTGGACCTGGAATTCGTACTTGATGTGAGAGAAAGGCATTTTCTTAGTTTCCCACCGCAGGTTGTAGCTGTCTCCATCCTTGGTTATATTGAGGGCTGGAGGGTGCATCTGGACTGGAGGAGGGATAATTTCAGGGAATGTTATGGTGTTCTTCTTCCAACAGAATGACCCCCATAGGTTCATAGGTTTGAATACTTTGTCCCAGTAGGTGAACCTCTTTAGGAAGGATTAGGATGTGTGGTCTTGTTGGATTTGTACTCTGCCTCTGGTTTGTGGTTCAAGATATGGGTGTGATGGTGCATACCTTTAGTTCTAGCACTTGAGAGGCAGAGGCAGGCAGATGTCTGTGAGGTGGAGGCCAGCCTGGTCTACAGAGTGAGTTCTAGGATAGCTAGGGCTCTACAGAGAAAACCTGTCCTGAAAAACCAACCAAACAGCCAACCGAATAAAAACAACAAAGATGTGGGCTCTTAGCTCCAGCTTCCTGCTCTGTACCTACTCCCCATGTTCTGCATCATGAACTCTGACCCTCTGAAACCATAATCTCAAAGTAAACTCTCCCTTCTGTAAATTACCTTCACTATGATGTCTTCTCACAACAATAAAAAACGTGACTAAGACTAACACCCAGCATTACTGAATCATAGTGTCCCTAGCTGGTCCCTGGGGCAGCAGCTGAGGTGAGCCTCGGTGGTGAGGTGGTCCATAGGTGGGGAGCAGTAACTCCTCCCCTAGGCGTATGGACTGTTCCAGGCCTGGGTAACAAGCACACTTTGTGGGAACGTCCTTGCTCTGCTCTCCCCTTTCCCCTGTGAGGTGCTCTAACTTCCCCATTTTTCATGGGGAAACTGAGTCCCAGAGCGTATACATAACACCTGAGCAGTAGAGAGCTTGTGTCTTCACTGGACTGTGTCAGCCACTCCTCTCCAGTGCTTCAGGGACCCTGGGAGTCGCCTGAAGCCAGGATGGGCTAGGAAGTCCTTGCTA